CAGCAACAACAACAACAAAAAACAACAAAAACAAAGGAACAGGTTAATCAACCTTTTTTAAAGGTTGGCATGTTGGTATATACTAAAGGAAATATAGGATTGAAAAAATCTAAAGACATCAAAAATATATCAAAAACAACGTAAAATGTGTGCTTTTAATTATTAAGGCAGTCAACAATAACTCGCCTCGATAGTGTTGATGGTGGAGGAAGAGGACAGAAAAAAGAAAAGAAAAAAGGAAAAGAGGAAGGGTAAGGGAAAAAAGATGAACAAGAAAAGTGAGTTAAATAAACTCAAAAGAGAAAAAAAGGAACTTGGTAGCAGAGGTTTGCATCAAACAGGAAATRGAAGTTTTTGATTTCAATTTTTTTTACTAACTGCGATGTATTTAGAAATATTTTTCGTTATGTTCTTTTATAATCTAATTTTAGATCAAACAGCCCGAAGGCCTCTGCTTTAAAACACTAATTTATCAAGCATACGATCAGCCTTTGTACATAATTGCCAGTATAAATAATAAAACAAGTAAATTAAATTGCTTTCGATGTTATTCGCTGATGAGAATAAGGAAAACCGCATATGAACAATCAAACATATGAAACCAAGATGTCCATTTGATGTTATTGCTGGGATACCTGTGGTATGCCAGCTACAAAACAAAGGCTTTGTTTTATTTTTCCTGATTCCTGCTCCACAAATTGAACAAGTTGCGCAATAGTACCCAGGGGTCTTCAGGAACTTACCCAAGAGACCTTTGCGGGTATCTGCTATAGTGTTCCCGTGTATAGTCCAATCAATTATCATGTACCGGATGTCAATCAATATATGTCACTATGTTGTCAAGTGATYATGAGATWAGGAGAGGTTTGTGTCTACGCATGGTCTATTTCGTTGACTGCTGTAATTCAAGACAGCCGAACTAGAAATATTAATTGATTTCTAACYGAGAAGATAGGGATGATTGAGAAGCGATTATTTTTAAGGATTTTCAATGAGCAATAGCTTTTTTTGGTTAACTCTTCATGAATCATCTACCCCAGCAGTATTTTCTGCACGAACAAGCGAAGATCGATAAGGAGAACAGTGTTTCAAAATAAGCGATAGTATTAAACAAATTCATTCTGCGTGACTCCTTATTCTCTTGAACTTGAAAATATATATTCTTATACAAGGGCGGATCCAGTTAAAATTTTAGGGTTGGGGGGGGTGGGGCTAATTGAGATAAGGGGGCGCTTATTGAGTTTCTTCCAATAAAACAATAAAAAAAGCATCTTATTCTTCAGTTTTGTTTGGGTTTGGGTTTGGGTTTGGGTTTGGGTTTGGGTTTGGGTTTGGGTTTGTTTGGTTTGGTTTTGCTTTGTTTTGTTTTGTTCTGTTTTGTTTTCTGCTGAGGAGGGCCCCTTTGCCCCCACCCCCTGGATCCGCCCTTGTTGAAGCCTATATTTATGCATTGATATTGACAGTTTTGGCTTCAAAGTCTACTCACAAATGAACATGAGGTACATAGCAATATTTATTTTAAACAAAATAAGTAAATAAATAACTTGCTACTCACATTCCAGGGTTTGATCTTTGCCGCTCGAAGCGTTATGATCTGCTTTACTTTTTCTTCAAAAAGATGACGATTCATTAAAAATATCGATAAATTATAAATTTACAAAATGTAAATCAATTATAAGAGAAGTCTTAAGCAAATATTAGCCTGTATTTACGTTTTAAATGAAGCATTTTGATTTTAAAGCGAGCGATACAATTTTCGTGCGAATGTGCACGTTCATGAAACCTAATTACGAAAATATCCGTACCGGAACTGGAATTGGAGTTCCAGGTTGACTTGTTCGATGACTTTGATGAGTAGTAACGTTTGTTTTGATTTTCCTTTCTGAGAAAGTGTTCACAAATAAATTTTGTATAGTCTTACTGTGCATTGCTGATCGACTCAATTCAAAACGTCCTCTTATTTATTTCATCAAAAACATCAATAAATCAAAACACGAGACCCCAAAAGTGTAAAAGTCTAACATAACTTTTCTAGATATCATGGCAACCTTTCCAGCAATCATATCACATATTTCGATGTCATGCCTACATTTCATAACCAGGCCTATCTTTAACAGGTATCCCAGCGCACCCTGAGCCCAGGGTCTTGTTCGAATTTTATATGCAACATCAGAAAAAATCTGTTAACATTTGGTCAGCTACGATTTCAAGCTCACGCCCCCTATGTAAGCCCATACAAATTATGTCTCAAAAACACGGTTTTTGGATTTTTCTCGAAATAATGACTATCTAGGCAAAAAAACAGAAATGGATTAAGTTAATTCAACTATTCACAGACTGTATTATATGGTTTAGATTGAATTCTATTGAAAAAAACCACCGTACTTTTTGAGTTGAATGTACAATGTTGGATGTATTTTACAAGAGAAAATGCATGACATAACCGAGGTCAAGCTAGAAAATCGTCTCTCCTTGAAATAAAACAGAACCTGTCAAAAAAACAGAAGTGGATTTGAAATTCCGGGCTTTTCTGAACATTTTGGTATATAATTCATAAAAATTAGTTAAAATTTAGAACCGTATTTTGGCTGATTTTATAAGCTCATACTATCTGTTGGCCTATACATTCGCCTCTTATGGTTTCTTAGGTTTCGTAGCCTCGAAAACCCGCTCACTACTAGTTAGCAAGGGTTATTTAGAATGTTTTATCACGCAGTTTACTTGAGCTATATAACTTTACTTTTAAGAACAACCTTTTGCTTTGGAAAGAGAGAAAAAAGACCGAAATAAGCAAATATTCCAAATGTATGGGCAATTTTTTCCAATGCTGATGTGAATGCCGCTAAACTTTATTTCAACAGACTTTATTAAAGGAACCAATTAGCCGTGTTGTAGGATATGCAATAACTACACACACATTGATGATGTATTCTCATCTCATACAGCCTTCCGTTTGTGAAAAAAATATAGCAGGACAATAGTGCCTACAAGTTAACATCCAAATTAATGCGAAATTATTACACTGCGCGTGCTCTGTTAATTTCATTAATCACTATTTTGYCATCTTATTGCTCTCGTTTTTTAGGAATTGAAGTTATAGATTTTTAATATATATGTTTATGAAGTCTTAGACGTTTTGTACTGTTAGCCGTAAGGAAGCGGAATATTTCAATGAAAATATCTGATTAGGAGGTTTATGGGCAAAAGATCCTATCTATTTTTATTTACTGAAGCAGTAGAATTAATTGATGGAACATAAATTTGCAAATCGTACATTTGCCTAAATTGCAAGAACGTTGTCAAATTATCAAAGATATCAAATATGAGTTAATATTCTTRATATGAATAAAAATGAAAAACATCAAAAAAGACTATAACTTAATCTAAATATGGAATTAATTATTTTTTCTTGTAGGCTATTAAAATCGAGGACTGAAGATAATGTTAGTTATCACTTCACTGTCGACAGGTGAACAGGTGAAATTATCCCTTAATTTTACGAGGAGCCAARCGATTAACCGTTTATTATATATAGGGCAAATTTCAACGAAAAAGCCGTCTTTAAACCAATATAATGCCCGTACGCTAACATTGATTCGGAACTTTCAAATCAAATGTAGCTATAGTTCAAAAGAATCGTATTCAGAATTTACAAGTGCTTCTTCTTGGACAATAATACGTCAAAGTTTTCTTCTGTAGAAAAGAATATCACCGATCACCGAGTTTAAACAATAATTATTTGGCAACTTTCCCATGGATCCCGCTGAATGAA